GAGACCATTTGTGGAAATATGTAAATATTGTGTAAATACAGAGCTACAAGTCAAACATATTTATTTGCAAGAAGAGACCCAATATAGTTAATAATTCTGTGAAATCAAAGTGCCTTCATTTTTTTCTGCAAGCTTTAACTTTCACCAGTGACATTGATATGTATCTCAATATATTCATTCAATAATTAGAGACATTTCATATTTGTAAATTCAAAGTTAACTGTATAATATGTATTCCAAGATAGCAGGCCAAAGAGACTATTTTTCCTAATTGACATTGAAAGAAATGATTAGCATGCTGCAGTACTTGTCTAACTCCTTTAGATTCATTAATTATTCAGGATTAATTCTGTGAAAATCCAGAGAATGCTTATGATGATGAGTTCTTAAGATATACAACTGTTCGAGGAGATAAGAACTGTTCATGAATTTATCATGTATTCAAATACACTATAAAGATCTCGGCTGCTGTAAATGTCTTCTGCTTTTTATATAATTACTAAATATTGGTGGCAAATGCACATTACCATTTGCCCATTAAAATCAGATTACAATTTTCTAAACTATTAAGATTTATTAACCTTGGACAAGGTTATATACAAGCTACTCAAAACCTTGTATTTGTGAAAGTATTTTATACATTTGTCTTTTCATATGAAATACCTTATCTGAATATGCCAACAAGACTATGATATACAAAGAGCAGTTTTAATGCCAACTGTATACCAGCTAGAATACTAATGGTTGAAGATATAACTATCAAACTAAATAACCAGGAAGTACAGGAAGTATACAGTCTAGCAAGAGAGACCATTAAACTAACACCAATAATGAATTGTGGTAATTACTACACCAAAAAAAGTAGGGGGTTACTGGACCACTTACAAAGAGGTAACCCAGCATCAGAAAAACAAATCCTGTATGTTCTCCCTCATACATGTAGTCCACTTTCTAATTTTCCTGTATTTGTATTTATGTGGGAACAAGTGTATATAGAGCTTAGGAAACTAGAAGAGATCAATGGGAAGAGAAAACGAAATGCCTTAAGGGAGTATGGAAGTGGGGAAGAAGTCAACCCAAACTAAGGATGCATGAAAATTCCAAAGAAATATGCTACTTTGTATATAAATTTTAAAAGATATTACTGTTCAAAAAGAGGAAAACTGTCTTGGTCTTAGGCAAAAGAAGCCTTGATAGATATTTAGGAGGAACAGCATCAGGAATTTCTTTGCAACATATTCTCAGTGCTTTATAGTTAATGGTGAAGGCTGTAGTAACACTGGAGGGAAGTGAGAGAAAATCTTAGAAATGTAGATCTGGACAAGCCTGGATAAGAGAAAAGCACTAGAACCAGTAGTGAAATGGGCGATTCCTCACGTGCATTACAAAGGATGAAGGAGCAACAAACACAGTGACATCTTCTTATACAGAAAATGATAGTTAAAAAGACACTAATGGGGGGAAGACATACATCCAAGTGTTAGCAGCTCTCAATGTTTCTGGTTATGGCAGATTGTAAGTACTCTCTGATATCATATTTTGTGTACCCATGTAAATGCATGAGACTGATGAACATATATTGGTTTTGAAATAAGGAAGTGAAATTATTTTTGTTGATTTAGTCAGTCTTAATTTTTCCTTTCACTAAAAACACAATTGAATGAGCACTAATGAAGGGAATATATAGAAGATAGAGAAATGGTTTCAGCAGTTAAGAGTACTTTCTGATTGTAATATGAATCTTAAAAGGTCTTATTAATAAAACAAATTGGAGCCAGATATTGAGGTGAACACTGAAAGATCAGAGAAGCAGAACAAACCACAGCCAACCTCACCTCACCAACACCTCAGCTGGTTCAGTTTCCACGAATCTTCAGACTGAAAGCCTCTGAGTTCTCACCCCTGTGCGTCTCAGTTGAACTGCTGCTTAGTTCCTGTCTCCTCACACCTTATATACCCTCACACTTTATATACCATTCTGCATCCAGCCATGTCACTTCCTGAGATTAAAGGCATATGTGCTTTCCAAGCAGACATGAGATCTCAAGTGCTGGGATTAAAGTTGTGTCCCACCACTGCCTGACTCTATTGCCAATGTGACCTTGAACTCACAGAGATCCAGACGGATCTCTGCCTCCCAAGTGATAGGATTAAGAGTGTGTGCCATCACTGTCTGGCCTCTATGTCTAATCTAGTGGCTGGCTCTGTCCTCTGATCCCCAGATAAGTTTATTAATATACACAATATATTTGGGTACACAATATATCACCACAGCTGCTCTTACAGAGAACTAAGTTTGGTTCCCTGCACCCACATAGGAATCTGACATTCACTTCTGGCATCTTAGGGAGCATACACACACACACACACACACACACACACACACACACAGAGAGAGAGAGAGAGAGAGAGAGAGAGAGAGAGAGAGAGAGAGAGAGAGAGAGAGAGAGAAAGAGAGACAGAGAGAGACAGAAAGAACACATACACATAAATAAAAATATTTTTTGAAAATGGTACAAATAAAAATATTCTGCAATTAACTGAAACATAATGCTTAAAGATGCATGAAGAGTTATAAAATAATTTGAAAACTGCATCTAACTTGCTAATTTTTGAAAAATGCAATGATGATGTGCGTCATAGAACATACCACCCACCCTCCCCAAAATATCATAAATTAAAATTGTAATCCTTAATGAGAACATATTTGGAGATAGTGCTTTTATGGAGATAATTAATGTTAAATGAGATCATAAAGAGAGATCTCTAAGGTGACAGGATTGGTGTCCTTATAAGAAAGGGAAGATATACAGGATTTCACAGATAGGAAAGGCCACATGAACATACAACATGAACATGATCATATGCATGTCTAAGAAAGATCTAAGAAGCCAGTTGGTGGTGGCACATGCCTTTAATCCCAGCATTCAGGAAGCAGAGGCAGGCAGATCTCTGTGAGTTCAAGACCAGCATGGTCCACAGAGTGAGTTCCAAGACAGCCAGGACTACACAGAGAAACCCTTTCACACACACAAAATAAACCTAAAATTAACTAAATCTACTGACCTTAATTTTGGAAAACCCATTTCTGTTTTGTTATGCCAGCCCAAACAGAATTAAATGATTAGGCTATGTCCAACCAAATCTTCAAGTTGACTGACATGCTATCATGTCACTTTTAAAGACTGTGTTGATAGATGAAATGGTGTATGATGCTTTTCCCCCTTAAGACTTGTATTTGATTAGGGAGAGGGAGGTAAACACTCTGCCTTAAGCTGTGACAGACTATGCAACAAAGGCAACTGCAGTGGTTAATTTGACTGGACTATGGCATGTTCATCAATTTGATAAAACATTATGGTGTTATTAGATGAGATCAGCATTACATTAACACTGACATCTTTTCCTGTCTTCCAGGACACATTCATCTTCTTCCGCCTTTGACCTCAGATAGACTAGAATTTAATATCCCTTAGATGTAGCACTCTGGCCAATCTTCCAAGTAACCCCAAAAGCTGCTAGTCTTGAGTAAGGTTCAGGGCATATAAGAATGAAATCCATGTCCAAGGGAAGAAACCATAGTGGAACAAGGAACCAGCAGAAATCTTACATAGAACTGAGGTTTGATCCTGGCCAAAGTGTCCCTCTCCACCTGCCCACACTCACTTCAGCTGCACACAGATTTTGATGGCTCCTTGTTCTATTATGCTGCCTTGTCTTGGCCATAGATTCCATTTCTTTTGCATGAAGAAGCTACATTCATCCTGGACCTTTTATGAAGAATCATATGCTGAACCTGAGGAATGTAAAGACTTTTTAAAAGCAAAAGCAGTCTGGGAGAGAGAGAGAGAGAGAGAGAGAGAGAGAGAGAGAGAGAGAGAGAGAGAGAGAGAGAGAGAGAGAGAGAGAGAGTTGATTCCATTAGAAAGGAAGAGATACAAAAGAGAAGAAATGGGAAACAAGGCAGACAGGAGAGAGAACAGGAAAGAACAGAGAGGGAGTGTCATTGAGCTAACCCCATAACCAAATTGTTTATTTTCGTGTAGCAGTTTCCTCCAAAATTAAAAACCTTCCATCTTGGAGGGAACTCATTAAGACACAGGATGTTCAGAGGGGTTAGTTAGCTAATAAGGGCTGGGTACGGGGAGCAGATATTCCAAAGAAATAGAAACATAATGTACTGTTCTAAAGGCATAAATGAAAAACTGGACTAGGAGGATTAAGTGAAGAGAGGCATAGGAAGGCGGGGTAAAGAAGGGAATATGGAGAGAGATGGGTAACACTGAAGGCCTTTTGAAAAGCAATACCAAAACCTAATACTGTATAAGCATCCTAAAATATATACATATATAAAAAGAAATTTAAAAAGAGTTACCATGTCATAGAGAAGACAATGCCCAAACTTTGTGGATTGTAGGGATCAAACTCAGGTGTGTTGATATTTTGTTTGTACTCTAACAAATAAAATTTGCCTGAAGATCAGAGGACAGAGCTAGTCACTAGATTAAACATAGAGGCCAGGCAGTGGTGGCACACACCTTTAATCCTAGCACTCGGGAGTCACATGCCTTTAATCCCAGCACTAGAAAGGTTGAGACAAGAAGTGATATGGCTGGGCAGAGAAAGGAATATAAGGCAAGAGGAGACAGGAGTTTGCCGCCCTTTCAGCTAAGGACTCAGGAGCATTCAGTCTGAGGACTCATGGAGACAGGATCTTGCCTCCTTTTTGACCTGAAGATTCGGTAGTGGTAAGAAGTTTCTCTAGTGGCTTGTTCCTTTGTCTCTCTGATCTTTCAGCATTTACCCCAGGATATCGCTCCAGGTTTTTATTATAAGACCAATTACGATTCATGCAACACTCAGGTCATTAGGCTTATACAACAAGCACTTAGCTACTGAGCCTTCTCACTGACCTGCCTTTCTTTTTTATTGACACCAAGATCTTATGTAAAACAAAAGTGAAAATTTTTTAATTTTTAACTTTAATTTTACTTTTCTCATTGGAGAATGTGAATGCAGGCCCCCAGTACTGCAAACTACGCAGTCCAGATTCCCGTATTTTGGGAAATCGCAGGGGTCAGCCCATCCAGAGTGCAATAGATAAGCCTCGCCCTGGGAAAACCACCTTTGTGATAATGATATCTCCCCGGGCAGGTAAGTATACAACTGTGCAATCTTGAAGCTTGAATCTTTTTGTTATTTATATTTATTCTTACATGTCACATAATTTTTCATGCTTGAGGAGTACTGTGTGATGTTTTGATACATGCACACATTATATAGTGATCAAATCGTGTTAATTAGTATACACATCACTTCAAATAAGTATTATTTTTTGCAGCGATTACATTCAATGTTTTCTTGAAATGTACATTATTGGTAGCTATAGTCACCCAACAGACTGCTTAATAGTACCACAGAACTTACTCTTCCTTTGATCTATCCCTTCTCATCTACCTTTTCTCTAGACTTTCATAATCTCTATTCTACTCTCTACGAAATCAGTGTATTTAGGTTTTGTGTATGTGGGAGATTGTGTGCTGTTTATCGTCCTCTGCCTGGCTTATTACTGTTAACAAAATGTTTTCCAGTTTCATCTATGTTGCATAGACAGGAAGTCATCCCTTTTCCCAACGAAACAAGTGTCGAATGAATATTTTCACCCCTCATGTTTACCGTATCATAAGTATCCAGATAGGGAATCAACAGACATTTCCTGAAATTGATCCTTCCAGAGTTTTTGGCATCATGGCACACACCACAGAATGTCATGAACTCATCCAGGCTATCCTAAACTACACAGTGAAATCTTGTTTTTGTTAAAACAATTGTTTTGTATGTACACACAGAACAGCTGTGAAATAGGACTAAATCTTGTTTTTGGGGTACTGCCTTGATCATGTGTGATAGTGTCAAAGTAAAAATTCAGAAAATAATTGATACTCATGTCCTTTACTCCTGAGAATTAAATGAATGAGAGATAGATTGCAGTTTCCCAATATGGTTACAGAAGCAACAACCATGTTCTCACATGTACAATGTGAAATGATGACATGGATGCTGACTGGCACATGGTGATTGTAAAACAATAATAGGAAGGAAACAAAACACCTGCAGAGGGAAATGTCTGTTTGGAAATTAACAGAACATAGCAATTCATTCCTTGGGCTTAAAAAAGGTCTTCTCAGTTAGCTTGAATCTTCACGTGGCTTTTTTTTTTTTTTTTAAGGATGTGCTTCCAGCAATTTTTCTCTTGTAACTTTATTTTTCTTGTCCTTTTGTGATAGGTCATATACATACAATAGAAATCAAATCTTTAGCATTTTTAGCACTAGAACTTATCCAAGTTTGTAATTTATCATTGATTTATTGTATCTTTTGCCATAGCAAATATTTTCATTTTATATCAATAAATATGTTTGATTTTTTAAAAATAACTTCTGGTCCTCCTGCCTTGCCAATCTCTTTTCTTACCCTTTGTTTTTCCCCTAAAATTTTAATTTTTTTTGTTTACACTTGGTATTTAACCCATCTGTTTTTTTCCTTTCTTTTTCATTTTCTTTTTTGGTTCTTATAACATGAGTTAGGATCCTAATTTTATTATCTTCCATATGGATATCCAGTTGTCCCCAAACCATATATTAAATATTCCATCCTTTGCCAATGAAATACCATGTTTATTATATATTAGCACATTGTATGCATTGAGTTTATTACATTTGATACATTTTATCCTTCAATTTATCTATAATTAATTCTTTTGCAATTGGTTCTCTAGTTGTCCAGAGTTGTTTGTTGAGTATCAGTGCTTTCTCCACTGATTTAAAATGCCCTACATATCCGTTCCATTCATCTTTCAATTTGGGCCCCAGCATCTTCCACTTCCCTGTTCTGTAGCTCTAAAATGTGTTGCTTTATCTGGGAGACAAGTCATCTCCCTTCTTTTATTCTTTATTCAAAAGTAATCGGATATTCTCACATTTATTCTCTTTGATGAAGTGTAAAGTGTCCTAGCCACATCATATCTCTCTCCATACATACATACAGATACTAAGTATGTACAGAGACATACACATGGTGATGTGACATGCTTGAAAGTGCATTGCATGTATAGATACAGTTCCTATAGCACTTTCTCTCATATATATATATATTAATGTCCATGATTGTGTTCATTTTAGTACTTGGTGTTCTTATGTTATCATTATGAGTGTGATTTTTGAATCTGAACTGTCCCCAATAGACTTGGGTTTTGAGTATTTATTCCCCGGCTGCTGCACCATTCTGAGAGGCTGTGGAGCCTTCTGAAGGGGAGGCCTAGAAGCACACACCCAAGTTCTAGTAGTTCTCTGCTGCTTGGTCCTCCAGGATGTAAACATCTACTGCTTCATGCCCCATGAACTGAGGGTCTACCCTACCTTCTCATCATACCAGAGACCCCTCTGAAACCATGATGTGTGAAAGCTTTCCCCATTCAGTTGTTTCTGTCAGATATAACTAACACATTGAAAGATTTCTTTTTCATTTTATTATCAAATAGATGATGGGTGAAATAAAAAAACTGATTTTACATATTAATATTGTACTTCTTTCTCTTGAAATTTTTTAAATGTTTCTTGTGGATGTTTAGTCTGAATGTGTGTCTGTGCTCCTTGCATGTGCCTCATGCCCGAGGAGGCCAGATCCCTTGGAACTACATACTTCAGTTGGGAGCCACCATGCAGGTGCTGGGAACTGAGCTCCAGTCTTCTGGAAGATGAGCAAGTGCTCTTCTCCACTAAGTTATTTTTGCACCTCTCTCTGACACACATAAGCACACACACACACACACACACACACACAGACTTCTTTTTTTAAACACATGGCTCTCTATGTAACTCTGATTGACCTGGAACTTGCTGCGTAGATCAGGCTGGGCTCAAACTTGCTGTGATTTCTGGTTCTGCTTCTCAAGTGCTGAGATTACAGATTGTACCAGCACACCCTACTTTATCATTGATTTATATATTTATATCTTCTGAGTGCTTTGATATATAATAATGACATACCATTATCTTTATTATCTTAATAATATTGCTTCATGTAATAGAAACAAGTAAACAGGGGCTGGAAAGATGGCTCAGCTGTCAAAAGCTAGGTTCACAACCAAAATGCAAGTAGACAACTCTATTTTTCTTTATTTTAATGAGAATTCTTCTAGTGTTTCCTCATAAAGTAAGATGCTATAGTTTACTTAAACTTATTTTTTTTAATAAAAAGAAATTATCTAGGGTCATATTAGGTCCCACTAGAAATTATCTTTATAATTCTGTTTTAAAGATTCCTTATAGTGACATTTGCTGAATGTTTTCCCCTCAAAAATGTACAAAGGTAAGCTGTCATTACCATGTAGACAAAGCCAACAAAGATATCACACATAGTCAGGCACAAAAATTGCATGGAAATGCCATTGAGAAACCTCGGGTCACAAAGATACGCGTCTCTTAAGGGGCTCAACTCCAAATTCCTGAGGAGCATGAGTTTTACCAAGAAGAACAACAAAAAGGGCCTAAAGAAGATGCAGGCAAACAATGTAAAAAATGTACATGCAGAAGCCATCCAGGAGGTCACTCGTTCTGCCAACCAAAGGGCAAAGCTCAAATAGAGGTTGATGGTGCCCGCTCAGCCTCAGGCTTCAGCTCTTGTTTCAGCTCCAACTCCAGCTGGTACCCAAAGGTCCCAAGACCTTTGTGAAGGCCAAATAGTAAAAACCCTCTCTGCTAATAAGAAGACAGATGGACTGGCGTGACCTCCCTCTACCCCTTATACTGTGTGCAGATGGTTTGTGTCCTGTGCTGTTTCTACAAATAAACTTGAAGCAGGACCTGTTCAAAGAAAACACTAACGCATCTAGTGAAGCATATCTTTCCCTTGACCTGTTATTAAGAATTACTATGTTAAGCTATTAATGAATTTACAGCATAAAATTCTTTAAATGTTACTGAATTCAATTTTGTAATTTAACATTTAGAAATTCCACGTTATTTTTTTTAAAAATTCCATATTTTATAATAAATACTTTTTTAAACTAGTAAGTTTTCGTTGGGTGCAGTTCAGGTTCCATAATTTAAAAAAAATTTTTTGAGAAAGGCTCTCACTGTGTAGCCCTGGCTCACCTGGAACTTGTTATGCCGTCCCAGGGTGGCCTGGAATACACAAAGATCTACCTGCCTCTCCCTCAGGAGAGGATTAATACCTGGTGGTCCCCATAATTTTGATAATACTTTTTCTGCTTGCATTATTTTCTAAATACTGATTTAAGCTAAGCTTTATTTTCTCTTAGATCCCACAGTTATTTCAAGAGTATCTTAGATGCTTAATGGTTTGCTTTCCTAGTTACAACCTTTTGATAATGGATGGTCTTATACATTCTTGCTAAAAAGCAAGGTTGATGCCTCTTGTGATTTGATGAATGCAGTAAGACCCCTTTGTGAATTAAAATATTTTGCTAAGTTTTGGTAATTATCTACCAATATTTGAAAAGACAGAACTGTTTTTCCTGTAGTATTAATGAATATGTCAAATTGATAACACTAATATTAGTCTCTTTCCTTGTTCTCCTCCCTAATTTACCTACAATTAGGAGAGTTGTATTAAATTCTTCCCTAATGGTTATGAGTTTTCCAACTTTCTCTTATGTTCCAACAACTTTTGTGTTGTCTATTTCCTAAATGTTCCTTTATCAATAAAAGGCAGATTTCTCAATGTACTTGTACGCTTTTTAAATTTAATTCTACTTTTCCTAGTGTTGAAATGGTGACCTTTTCTTTCTTCCCATTTGCATTTGCCTGGGATAGCTTTGTTCTTTACTTTAGTTTTAACCTTTCTTTAACCTAGTCTTAGAATATTAGTCTTGTGTCTTGAGAATTTAATCCATTCACATTTATCATAATGAGTAATATATTTGGCCTTAACTTTGGCATGCCATTTGGTGTATTTAAATATTCCAAGGCTTACTCTGTCATTGCCTTTGAAATTTACTTTCCCATTACTCTAGTTTTCCTTGAGCTCAATATCTTTCTCATTACACTATATTGATATGAAACTTGCATATGATAGTTTTAATGTGTGATATTCTAGTCTCTCAAAAGAACTATAATTTTTAGTGGTTTTGTAGTGTGTA